CTTTTTCACCCATTCCCCTAACCCCCCTCCCATCTGGCAACTAACAAAATGTTCTCTGTACCTATGAGAATGTTTCTGTTCTGCTTCTTCATTTTGTTTGTGGATATAATTGTCGACAGATATATATTCATTACCATTTTGTTTGTTCATATTTTTTATCTTTTTCTTCAAGAAGACCCTTCATCATTTCATATAATAATGGTTTGGTGGTGATGAACTCCTTTAGCTTTTCCTTGTCTGGGAAACTCTTTATATGGCCATCGATTCTAAATGACAGCTTTGCAGGATAGAGTAATATTGGTTGTGGGTTCTTGGGTTCTTGCATTTCATCACTCCGAATATTTCTTGCCACTCCCTTCTGGCCTGATTTTGAGAAATCAGCTGACAGTCTTATGGAAACTCCCTTGTAGGTGACTAACTGCTTTTCTCTTGCTGCTTTTAAGATTCTCTCTTTGTCTTGAACCTTTTGCATTTTTTTGATGATGACGTGTCTTGGTGTGGGCCTCTTGGGGTTCATCTTGTTTGGAACTCTCTGTGCTTCCTGGACTTGTATGTCTGTTTCCTTCACCAAGTTAGGGAAGTTTTCTGCCATTACTGTTTCAAATAGGTTTTCAATTTCTTGTTCTCTCTCTTCACCTTCTGGCACCCCCAAGAAGCAAATGTTGGCACACTTGAAGTTGTCCCAGAGGCTCCTTACACTATCCTCATTTTTTTGGATTCTTTTTTCTTTTTGCTGTTCTGATTGGGTGTTTTTTACTTCCTTATATTCCAAATCGATGGTTTGCTACTTGGCTTTACTTACTGTACTACTGAATCTGTGTAAATTATTCCTTATTTCAGTTATTGCCTCCTTCATTTCTGACTGGTCCTTTTTTACGCTCTTGAGGCCCTCACTAAGTTCGCTGAGGTTCTCACTAAGTCCATTGAGCATCCTTATAAGCAGTGTTTTGAACTCAGCATCTGTTAGGTTGCTCATCTCCATTTCTCTTAGTTCTTTTCCTGGGGTTTTGTTCTGTTCTTTCATCTGGGACCTGTTTCTTTGTCTCCTCATTTTGGCTGCCTCTCTGTGTTTGTTTCTGTGTATTACTTAAGGAGAAGTATGGGGCTATCTGAGACCAGATGCTGCTTGTTTGAAAGAATTTAGGAAAACCTGAAGCAGGATCCCAGATAGGCCAATCCTATGGTTAAGCAACTGGAACAGCTTGGGTGGGCCTAAAAATTGGGTGGGGCGGAGCCCCAGGGAATCACCAGGGCGGGGCAACCAGTCAGGTGCTAGAGTCCCAGATATGGCGGCTGTCTGCTGGCCTAGTGAGGGAAGGCCTCGCCAAAGGAACAAAGGCCTCTGACTGCACGTCTATTCTGGAGAAAGCCTCCTCTCCAGCCCTCCTTGCAGTGCCAAACAGCACAGTTCTTCTCTGTATGTCTCTGGTGCCCCTCGAGCTGCCTCCCCTCCAAGCTTAGAGGGAGTGAGTTCGATAAGTTCGTGCGTGGACCCTTTAAGAGGAGCTGCCTGGGACTCTAGAAGCCTCAGCCTCCCTCAGCCTCAGTTCCTGCTGGTTTTTTTAGCCAGAAGTTATGGGGACTTCTCTTCTGAGCACTGGAACCCTGAGCTGGGCGCCTGGTGTGGGATGGGAACCCCTCAGTCCTCAGAGAGGACCTTCTCAGCTGAGTTATGGTCCTGATTTTTATCCACCACATATGGTGTGGGACCAGCACATCCGCCTCCACCCCAGTCTCGATGCAGCTGCTACCAGTCTCGATGCAGCTGCTGCTTTAATTGTGTAGTTGTAGGACTTCCACTCAGCTCGATTTCAGGCAGTTTTGAATGATGGTTGTTCTGTAGTTAGTTGTAACTTTGATGTGGTTGTGGGAGGACATGATACCGCGTTTACCTATGCTGCCATCTTGACCGGAAGTCTCTCATTGATGTTTCTCTCTCTCTCCCTCTGTCTAGTGTTACTGAAAAATCCAAGTTTGGCTGCTCACCGCTAGAAAACTGATAAATACTGAGAGACAGGGCTGGGTAGAAAAGACTTCCTGGCACCAGCAGCTGGTCACAGCTTCTTTAAAATCGACATCCGTCTTTTTAACTGGCTGCCCATGATAGTGGGCCCATGCATAGCTTCCATTTCTGATGTGACTGATAACAAGGCTGGCTGGCATTATTTGGCCAAGTCATTTTGTCTACTTGGTTGCTTAATGCCTCTTCTGTGGTGGATACTCTTTGGTGTAATTTAATATGTGATAGAAAGGTCTTCCCATTTTTCATTCACTGTTTTATGTCCATTCACATGTCTCTATCCAGTCCTTCTTATCTCCCTGTACTTCCATGCCCCTGACTAGCTGATGAGGCCATTTGCTACTACCTATGAGTTTATATATATTCTAACTTCAGGCTATTTTTCTCTATACAAAGTGGATGATCACTTGAAGCTCTGCTCATTGGGAGGATTTCCCCTTGATATAGTTTTAGTTATTAGGGGAGAATACCCAGAGGCAGGAATTGGCATGCAGGATATCTATCAAGGAGTATGCTGGAAAGGACTGTGGAAACAAAGAAAAAGGAAGCAAGATTGGGCAGAAGGGAAGTATAACTTGATATAAAACTGCTGAGAATCTTAGCTGACCTGATAGGGAGCACTGGAGCCAAAATGATCCTTCAGATTTGTCCTATGTTGGCCTATGATGGCTGGGCCTTATATCCCCAGTCAGTCACTGGGTATAGGCTACTCTGAGAAGGTTGTGACGTTGATCAAGGAGGTTCTTTGAGGTGGAGTCAATCCCTGAACAATTTGACAACTGAAGGCTGATGCTGAGAACATTCTCAGCAGCTGGAGCAATAGGTCCTTTTTTAAAGGGGGATTGATTGGCACATCTCTGTGTCTATGCAATCAGATAGCCTGAGTTCAAACATTGTCTATGTTGATTACTTTCTGGGTAATCTTAGACAAATTACTTAATTTCTCTGAGTTTTGGTTCTCTTAGCTATAAAATGGGAGTTATAATATTACTTATTTCATAGGAATTTGTGAAATTCCAGGACATAATTCATGTAAAAGACATTACTTGGATCACTAGGAAGAGCCCCGTGAAACTTTGCTATTATGATTTTTTATTGTAAAACTAGATCAGGATATACATCATGATCCAGGACCTGGATATCTGATATCATCAGACCTTCTCTTTTAAAATGTTTTATATTTTTCTTTCTGGGTTCAGATATTGGAAGTCAATTATACAGTAGTTAGATTCAAATCTCTAGTGAAAGGGTCTGCATTTTTTTTGGTACACACCACACCTCTTATACAAAAGGCTTGCATTTCTTCTTGCACCTGATGAGTATGGAAACACCATAGAAACCCTTGGGGCATGATTGTGTGCATGGCTGAGGGTGTGCATGGCTGAGTGTGTGCTTGGCTATGCATCATCAGTACTCTCTCATTATTTCAGACGATGACTGGCTCTCCAGCTACCATCACCCCAGCTATGGCAGGTTTGGCGGGCTGTGAAGAGAAGCCTTCCATTTGGCAGGTGCTCAATGTTGGTTGGCTTTAAATAATTCCTAGATAAATATCACCTTTTGTAAGGAGCCTAGGTGTCCTAGATTAAGCTGAGCAACCATACTCTGGAAGAATCAAACTGGCCCCCAGTGAAGGAAATGGTGAGGTCAAGTGCCCCTGAGAGAAGCGTTACAACCCAACATTTTAGGCAATGCCCTTAGGGCAGTGGTTTTCAGACTGCAGGCAGCAATCCATCAGTGGGTTGCAAAATCATTTTAGTGGATGATGACCAGGTTTTTTTTTTTGATGAGCTAGAGACATATAAAATGAAATATCTGAATATAGCCGAATTTATTTAACCTAGTAGTCTTACATATTGTTTCAGAAGACCTTTTCATTTGTGCATGTATGTTTCTGTTCTGGAGTACAATATGTTTTAAAAAGTATGTATCTGACTGAAATACACTGTCTTTGAGGGGAGAAGATATTTATAGAAAAAACAATTAATTACCCTAACACTCAATCTAGAAGCCTTACTTTCCTTGTCTTTCTTGATTTTTTTTTTTTGGATCAGGAGTGGCTTGAAGCATTTATCTTAATCCTCTCCATTTCATTTGGGGTGGTCAGGGAAGAATGCATTTTATTTCTCTTTCTCCTATGACTCTTTTCAGTTCTAGATGGTGCCTGGGTTGGGCCAAGAAGATTCGACTGCTTCATTTCTTTTCCTTATCAGGCAAAGCAGTCAAGAGTGAGCTGGGCTGCTGGGTTTTGGGAAGGGGTTGGAGCAGACTTCTTACCTTAGATGAGTGAACCCGATAACAAAATTACCAGAAATCTCATTTGGATCCTCAAATCTGCGTTGCTAGACAGAAATCTGGAGCCAATGCGCAGAGACGAACAGTGTCAGAAACAAAATGGGGAAGAAGCGTTGATCCTGCATTGTTGACCTGGGAGGAGGGGAGGCTAAAGGGAAGAATTCTCAACATGAGGAACATTCACAGCAATGCCTCCTGATTTGAAAATGTATAAGCTATTTTCTTATCTACCAATTTACCTACTTTAAGCATTGCTCAAAAAGAGACGGTAGGGGTGTGAGTTGAACAGGTGTATATCCATTTCCAAATCATATAGCTAAAAATTGTGCATTTCAGTATATATGTTTTTACTTTAAAAAATGATAACCCCTTTCAGCATGTGAGAATACAGTGAGAAGGCACAAGTTATGAACCAGGAAGAGGCCCTCACCAGAGGAAGAGACCATACTGGTGCCTTGCTTTTGGACTTTAGGCCTTCAGAACTGTGAGAAATAAGTTTCTGGTTTTTATTTATTTATTTATTTTTTTGACAGACAATTGTTTAGTTTTTATTTCATATTCATAAACTTAACTCTGCAATCCAGCTAGACTTGGAAAGAGTAAAGAAAATATGGAACTCAACAAACTGAAGCAAGAGCATGAATATTATAGACATTCCAAGCAGATCAGGTGAAGGGGTGCTCTCCTGAGCTACAGAAGGAATGGTCTGGTAGTTAAGATAAAACACAAGTCAAATTTATGAGAGTTGTCCACAGTTAGCAATGGTGACCTTTTTGCTGGTCTTGCCATTCCTGGACCCAAAGCTCTCCATGGTTGTCACAACATCCATGCCGTCTTTCACCTGGCCGAAGACCACGTGCTTGCCATCCCACCACTCAGTCTTGGCAGTGCAGATGAAAAACTGGGAACCATTTTTGTTGGGTCCAGCATTTGCCATGGACAAGATGCCAGGACCCGTGTGCTTCAGGATGAAATTCTCATCATCAAATTTCTCCCCATAGATGGACTTGCCGCCTGTGCCATTATGTCGTGTGAAGTCACCACCCTGGCACATAAATCCTGGAATAATTCTGTGAAAGGAGGAACCTTTATAACCAAATCCTTTCTCCCCAGTCCTCAGAACATGAAAGTTTTCTACCATCTTTGGAATTTTGTCCGCAAACAGCTTGAAGGTGACGCGGCCCAAGGGATCCCCATTGACGGCGATGTCAAAGTACAAAATAGGGTTCACCATGGCTAGGCTCGAGCGGTTCTGGTATGATGGTGTCTGCAAGGCTGTTTGTTTTTTTTTTTTTTTAATATAATAATTGAGTAAGAATGGCAAATGTGTGGAGGTAGAGATGGATCAGGAATGACAGATTGTTGAGGCTAAGAGATGGGTATATGGGGATTCATTACACCATTCTGTTCACTTTGTATTTGAAAATTTCCACAATAGATCAAAATATCTTTAACACTTTTCTTTGTTATTAATCCACCTAATGGCTGACATTATCCTTTTTTCCATAACCTCAGACCAACATGGAAGCAATGAATGGGCTACATGGTTTCCACATTTTTGGCTGTTCCTAACAGGTAGGTCCTGAAGTTGGGATAGAGGAAACTTTTCAGGAAAGTCATATCTTCCATAGTTACACAGGGCAATCATAAGGGATCTAAAAGAGATGGTGGATTTGTGCAAAAAATATTTATTAAATTCAGCATTTATTCACTGGCTCCACAGATTTCTGCAGGAAATCTGTCAGAACATCCCAGGAGGTAAAGGTAATAAGAGGCTTGTGCTTATTGCTTCAGTTTTGCATGGATAATTAAGAAGGCAATAAGACCTGTACCTACCTGGAAGATGCCTGATGTTGTGAATTATGAATAAAGAACTTGGGGTGGCAACAGCTGGCAATTCAACATGTGTGGTTTGCTTTTACAGGAAGCCACAAACTAATCTTTGAGGCCCAACACAGCATGAAACCTGTAGAATTGCTTGCTCAGGGCTAAGATTTTAAAGGCTTGATGGTGAGGAAATGGCCCCCCTCATCCGCCTCCTCATTAACAGGTCCAGAGTGAGGGTGTGCGGCCAGAGGCTGATCTTGATGTCTAATGATATGAGGCAGAACTAGAGTATTGATGTAAAATGGTGTGATGAGAAGGTATTTTAATCTTGAGTCTTCAAGTCACTATACAGTATTGGACAATCCACCCAGCTATGCTATACATGCATTTCCTCATCTGCAAAATGACCTGGTTGAATTCCAAAGATTCATTTCACTTCTAAAATTCCATGATTTATTTACCATAGTTAAAATTTCACTCACCCATTACATTGACTAATTATCAATAAGGCAGAATTTTCCCTCTGTTCATGCAGTACCTATTCTCAGGACCGCTGGCTGATGCTCTAACCGCTGAGCCAAACCGGCCAGGGCATGCAGTACCTATTCTCAGCAAGAGTCAATCTCACAAGCAGAGAGGGTAGTAACAGCTTCTATGTCGTGACTCAGAGCATAATGAGATGGAATCCCAAGTTCGCAAACTTCACACTAGCTACAGCATCTCCTGAAATTAGACTAGAAGAGATCATGTCTTTGCATTTTGGAGGTTCTTTGAGACTCCTTATTAAAATAAAAATATCCCTGAGGTCCCAGGCTGGTCTTTCTCCTTGTGCTGTTGCACGGGTTTCCTCCTCTTGGATGAAGTTAACTACTTTCAGATGATGCATCCAAACAAGGTGATTGCATTTTCTAAAACACAAAACAGTACACTTCTCTCTTAACCTGTCCTACGTGTGAAGTAGCTTTGCTAACTTGATATGTGTCAGAACTTAAAAGACTTCTAAGGATTTTATTTGTGCATGGCCAAACTGGCCAGGGCATAAATTCTCAGATTTAAGAGATCATGTCTATTTACATTTTTCTCTATGAGCGTTGAATATATTAGGGTTTGATGTTTTGGGTGATGATTGGAATACACTATGATGACATGATAGTGGGTAAGAAAAAGAGGAAGAATATGAACTAGTTCATAGCATCTCCAGAAAGAGTCTAGTTTTATACTTTTTATTTTATTTTTTAATTTAAATTAATTTATTTTTGTTACAGATGTTTCTCCTTCCCCCCCACTGATTCCCCCCTCCCTCTCCCTCCCCTATACTTTTTAAATATAAGCACTGCCTCACAGGAACCCAGTTGCCACCATCTCAACCATTAGTATGATTTCTGCTGTTATGTAGTAGTTCACAGTTGAATGTTAAAATCAATGGCCTTCATGACATAAGATCTAAAGCAAAAATGATAGCTTTTTAGTACCACCTTGTGGCTAACTTCTTAATATACATTTTAACCTGATTACTATGTAGATAGGTAAGTAGAGACATATATAGAGAATCAGCAAAATATGTGTTATATATATTTATATATAATTACATATATAACAAATGATAGACCTGGAACAAATTGTATAATTACTTACACTTCAGGTAGTGGGGATAAGTTTTATTCCACAGATTTAGATATTCAGGACTTAATTTTTTGGTAATTAACTTAATCTCAGTTTATTCAGGGTCCCCTAGGCTTGTTTCTATATTCTTGAGGACTTAATAGGTGTCAAGTCAGTATGGGAAGGGGTTTCTGAGTCTTGATTATCAAACAACAAAGGTCACTTTTGAGTCCTCATTGCTTTTTCCTGGTTGCAAACACCTTCAGGTGGTGGACATCTCTGTCAATTCTGCATCCTTTTTAGGTACCAGGAACCCTCTGCTTCTCTACAGGGCACTGAGCCCACCTGCCTCGACACAGCACAGTACACTCTTTCCTGGGCTGCCCCTCTGGGAAAGCAGCACATGTCATTCTGTTCTGGGATCTCCCAAATCATCTGGAGTGTTTGTTCTCCTCTAGAACAGAGCTCAGGATCCTTTTTAGTGACTCACTCCATGCTAGTACCTGACTTCTTCCTCCACTAAGTCTCCTTATTTCTCCCACTCCCCCAGCCCCTGGCAACCATTTTTCTGTTGTCTGCTTCAATGAATTTGATTTTTGTTTGTTTGCATTCCACATATAACTGATTCAATGAAGTATTTGTTTCTTTGTCTGTCTTATTTCACTTGGTATAATGCCCTCCAGGTTCATCTATGACAGGATTTCCTTCTTTTTTAAGGGTGAATAAATATTGCATTGTATATATACCACATTTTCTTTATTCATTCATCTGTCGAGAGACACTTAGGTTGTTTCCAAATCTATTTTGAATTATGCTGCAATAAACATGGGAGTACAGATATTTCTTCAAGAAATATTTTCTTTGGATATATACCCAGAATTGGGATTGCTGAATCGTATGGTAGTTCTATTTTTAATTTCTTGAGAAACCTCCATACTGTTTTTCATAGTGGCTGCACCAATTTACATTCCACTGTTCATGTATCTGTAGGTCAGTTGTATGTCTCCTTAGGAATAATGTCTATTTAGGTTCTTTGCCCATTAAAAAATTTTTTTCATTGTTGACACTATTGCAGATGTTCCCCATTCCTGCCCCCCTAGCCTTTTCCCACCTCCACCCAGCCCCTGCCCCCCCTCCCTTGGCCCTCACCACACTATTGTCTGTGTCCATGGACTATGCATGCATGTTTTTTAGGTAATCCCTTCACTTCCATTGTCCAGTTTCCCCGAACCCCTCCCCTCTGACATTTGTCAGTCTGTTCCATGTATCCATGCCTCTGATTTTATTTATTTATTTATTTATTTATTTTTTTCTTGTTTAAATAATTTTGTTTTATTGATTTTATTTATTTATTTTTTTTTGGAAATTTTTATTTATTTATTTATTTTTTTGTTACAGATATTTTACCTTTTTACCCCATTGGCACCCCCCCCCCACCCTGTCCCCGGCTTAGTTGTCCATGTCCATTGGTCATGCATACATGCATATAAGTTCTGTGGTTTATCTCTTCCCATCCCCCCCCACCCCCCATCCCCTCTTCTGAGGGATGTCAGTCTGTGCCCCACTTCCATGTGTCTGGGTCTACTGTATTCCTCAGACTGTTATGTTCATTATATTCCGTATATAAGTGAGATCATGTGGTATTTGTCCTTCTCTGCTTGGCTTCTTTCACTTAGGATAATACTTTCCAGGTCCCTCCATGTCGTCTCAAAGGATAAGAGATCTTTCTTTCTTACCGCTGCATAGTATTCCATTGTGTATATGTACCACAGCTTTTTGATCCATTCGTCTACTGGTGGACACTTGGGCTGTTTCCAGATCTTAGCTATTGTAAATAGTGCTGCTATGAACATGGGGGTACATATATTCTTCCTGATTGGTGTTTCAGGCTTCCTAGGGTATATTCCCAGCAGTGGGATCACTGGGTCAAATGGAAGTTCAATTTTTAATTTTTTGAGGTAGCACCATATTGTTTTCCATAGCGGCTGCACCAGTCTGCATTCCCACCAGCAGTGTATTAGAGTCCCCTTTTCTCCACACCCTCGCCAACACTTGTTGTTTGATGATTTGTTGATGGCGGCCATTCTGACAGGTGTGAGGTGATACCTCATTGTTGTTTTAATTTGCATCTCTCTGATGATTAGTGATGTTGAGCATTTCTTCATATGTCTCTTGGCCATTTGTATGTCCTGTTTGGAGAGGTGTCTATTCAGCTCCTCTGCCCATTTTTTAATTGGGTTCTTTGTCTTCCTTTTGTGGAGTTGTATGAGCACTCTGTATATATTGGAAATTAACCCCTTATCTGATACATCATTGGCAATGATGTTCTCCCATACAGTGGGTTCCCTTTCCATTTTGATGATTGTTTCTTTTGCTGTGCAGAAGCTTTTTAGTTTGATGTAGTCCCATGTGTTCATTTTCTCCTTTATTTCTGTTGCCTTAGGTGATGTATCAGTGAAAATTCTGCTCCGTATGATGTAACCAAAACAGCCTGGTATTGGCACAAGAACAGGCATATAGACCAGTGGAACAGAACTGAAAACCCAGAAATGGACCCAAGGCAATACGCTCAATTAATATTTGACAAAGGTGGCAAGAGCATACAGTGGAGTAAAGACAGCCTCTTTAATAAATGGTGTTAGGAAAATTCGACAGCTACATGCAAAAAAATGAAACTAGACCATCAACTTACACCATACACAAAAATAAACTCAAAATGGATAAAAGACTTAAATGTGACCCGTGAATCCATAAAAATTCTAGAAGAAAATGTAGGCAACAAAATTTCGGACATCATACGGAGCAGAATTATTT